AAAAACGAAATATCTCCCTTTGGAGTGGACTTTGAGATTTGTAACTTTCTAGATCTTTTGTATGCCCAAACATACACACTACACACTGACTAAAATTAAAAAAGTGAAAAAGCATAATAGGACCCCTTTAAGCAGTTATGAGCAGCAGGCTGTGTAATATGTGTGAACTCTTTTATTTCTGACTCATAGCAGTGTCCAGTGTTTCCCATACATTGAGTTATTTGTGGCGGCTCGTCACAACAGACGGACCGCCACAAATAGATTTTCCAAAAGGCTTATACTTCCTTGAATAAACTGAGCACTGCACGTTTCAAAATTAAAATGCAGCGTGGGTGTTTTTATATGCATGTATCTTTGAAAAGAACCGACCGTCTTCAGAAAAGCTTCGATGTCATTTTAATTTCGTCTTGATAAAGTAGCGTTTGTGAGCGCAGCGCTTATTTGATTACAGCGGTTACCGGGGAAACCACTATATATCTCCTCTATATCTTGTACCCTGCAATAAACATGTATTCAAACTCACTTTTATGAGATGAAGGGGGAAAAAAAGAAAAGAAAATCAGCCAAATATATCGGCCAAAAAAATCGGCATCATATATCAGCCATCGGCTGCCCTGATTTCTAAATATCGGCATCGGCCAGAGAAAAACCCATGTCGGTCAACCTCTAGCCTGTATATGCTTTTTTTGACTCTCAAAATGCCAGTAGCCATTGATTTGCATTTTATGAATCACCAAGCAGCACAGGTTCAACTAAAAATCTTCTTTACTGTTCTACTGAAGAAACAAACTCACCTACATCTTGAATGGCCTGAGCGTGAGTAAATTCACAACAATTTTTTTATTTTTTTTTATTTTGGGTGAACTATCACTTTAAACATCAATGGTTGAAAAAACAAAATCCCAAAGAAGTTGCGATGAAACCAAAGTAAGACAGATTTTTCATCTGCACAAAAAATGTAGGGTGGGGTTTTGGTTCTACACATCAGATGATGATTGGATGATGAGATGTGGGCGTGGCACTCAAATATATACAGATGAGTGTGAGCTTGCAGGGGCGGAGTTTAAGCACATGGCAACACCCTAGCAACCCCCCACCACATCCTAACATTGTGGCAATATCTTCTGCTCAAGCAAACACTCTCTAATATACTAATGAGACACTTATCTGACTTCTTTTAAAAGATAGTGTATTTACAGTCACGGATTACTGGTGATCAATGGTGATAATCACTCATAAATCAATCCTTGTGGGGTTTAAACCTACAAACTATCAGTTGCCAGCTCAGCTCAATTTCATACTTTTATTGTAACATGACAAGGTTATAAGCTACTAAAAGGGGTAAATGCCCCAAAAAACAATAACATAGTAATTTTTGACACTTGAAAATAATCAAGCAGTAACAGACATGAGCTACTACTACTATGGTATGTCCAAAAAAACATGGTAAAAACATGGTACATGAGCAAAAAAATGGTATAATATATACATGGTATAATACGTCCATAAAATCACGCTAGCATGACAGTACCATAGAGATATTTAATATTTCTTTGAAACTGAAAATAAGCAATAACAGACATGATAGAGAGCCAGTACCATGGTAAATACCCAACCAACATGGTAACCCCATGGTACACGCATTAATAGACATGATTATGAGCTAATACCGTGGAACATGTCCAAAAAACACAGTATTACCACGTTACCGTGACAATACCATGGTGATATAACACTTTTTTTGAGTGTGAATATAAGCAGTAACACACATTATAAGAGAGCTAGTGCCATGGTAAATGGCCAAAAACATGGTATTACCATTCTAAAGCCATTAGAGCAGTGAAATCAAGCTGTATCAGACATGATTCAGACTGACATGATGAAAACATCACTCATGTGCACAATTGCTGTGATCAAGTTGTGATGCTGCGCAGAGTGTGTGTGTGTGTGTGTGTGTGTGTGTGTGTGTGTGTG